GGCCGGGGGGGCAAGGAGGTCATGCCACCTTGCAGCATCAAGGGGCATAGCCCTTGGAAGTCAGTTGGCGCGGGGATTTTAGTGATAAGTTGTTATGTGTGGTTATTGTTAAATATTTGTAAATATTGACGAAAGTGCCTTCGGAGGCGATGTTCTCGTTAGTGGCATTGTGTCCTAAGCAGCAACTGATGCCATCAACAATGGATGGGTTAGTTATTATTGATGGGTGTACCTTTGATGGATTTATCAGTTGATAGGTGCAATGGTTTCAATTATCTGAATAAAGCTATTATCAACCACATATACGAAAGCCCCAACACAAATAATTGGGTCCACCCCTAGGACTAAACAATAACCTTTCTAACAAGACCTAGTCCATTCAAATGACTCCTTAGATTAACATACACATTCTCGGGTTCGTCGTCCCATAGTTTCGACAGCCAAGCTGAAATATGAACTGGGGCTATTGTGTGATTGCTTCTCATCGTGATTCTTGCCTAGATAGAATGAAGAAAGGACGTTTGCAGCTGATAGTTTATCGTCTTAACTGTTGATGCATTTTTCATGTGTTTTGTAACTGTCCGTTTAATTCCATAATCATTTCCATTTATGGTATTAATCATCGACTTTGATATACAACGATTACGATTTCTCTTGGTCTATAGGTTATGATTTTTGCCAAAATCGTGACTGAAAGTTAGATTCTCTTCGAGGAAATTTCATGATAGGTAAACAAATTTGAGTCAGCATATTAAAAAGTAAAAGGAAAGCAAGCTTTGACTAAAGTTTTATCCAACTTCATTTCTCTCTTTAACGACTCCCAAATAAATGAAAAGCAAGCTTGGCTCCAAAGGTCAAAAGTACCTCGATGTCTCAGGTTCAAATCTAAGAAGGAATAAAAATCCCCTTGTGGCCACGGAGGTTCAAATGCGGTGACTCCGGGATATATGCAAAGCAGGTGAACACCCTGGGATTAGTCGGCTCGCATAGCGGGTTGGATATCCAGGTTAAAAAAACAATGCATATTTAATATATGAAATATATATTTAAAAGATAATGATAATTAAACATGTGAGACACTGTTTTTTTTATTAACCTGTATATTCAACTCGCTATACGAGTTGACTAATCTCAAAACGACCATCCGTTTTGTGGGTAGCCCAGAGTCACTATATTTAAACCTCTGTAACTATAAGAGAATTTTTATTTTTCATTGAATTTGAACATGTGAACTTTTATGCAATTTTAAACTTCGGATTGGAGGCCCACCGTATTGCTCGCCAACTAGATCCAGATTTAGATTCCACCGGTTCACCTTTATTATACTCCAAATCACAACTAAATATATCAAATCAATATCTATATAATGTAAAATTTGTTTTCGTGAAATCTGTGAGACCATTCTTTTACATTTGAAACTTCACAGCAAAACGTTGCGAAGGTAAAAAAATCCAACTTTGACAACAAAAACACTGTAAAGGTTACCTTTATAGTGTTTTGTTGTGAAGTTTCAAGTATAAAAAATGGTCTCAGTGAGTCTCACGTGATTACAAGTTTATAATGTAATGTCATTATAAACTTTATCTTAAAAATCTTGTTAATCAAGTATTTGTTACTAAGAAAACCATAACTCAGGTTGATTTTATAGGTTTATAAACTTGTATAAGGGGCCGTTTACCAAATGCTTACTCGAGTAAGCGCTTATCAAATCATATTACATTATCGGATGAATATGGTAAGGACCAAGAAGCTTACCCGGTAAGAGTAAGACAAGGACCAAGAGTCTTACCCGGTAAGTGAGGGTAACGACTCTTACCAAAGTAAGTGCTTACCGGGTAAATTGTTGCATACGATGCCGTTTTGATGGACTAAAATCTTACTCGGTAAGTAAATGATTTTACCGGTAAGCACTTACTGGGTAAGTGTTTGGTAAACGGCCCCTAAGTGTTCATCATGTGGAATTTTAGAATAATATAATATTGTTTTATTAGTATTAGAGTAATCTACGATTTTCGTTCCAGTAATCAACATGGATTAACTTTGCAAATATTTGTTTTTTAACTTCTAACACTTGTGGCCACGAAGGTTCAAATGCAGTGATTCTGAGCTATCCACAAAGAAGGAAGACACCGGCAAGTAGACTTGTAAGAGTCCCCCTTGTTAACCAAACCGTATAAGTTATCTTTATTGAGTTAACCGAACCTTTTAACTCGAAAACCAAATAATCGAAACAATTTTGGTTTGGGTACCTTTAAATGTGACCCCAACGATAAAAATTTCCGGATCCGTCACTAGATAGAGTAAACCGACCAACTCACAAGTAAGCTAGCCGCAGGGTTGCAAAATGCATGCGTCATGAAATCGGGTTTAAAAGAAAAACTGAGGAATATATGAAATGTACGAGGCCAAGAACATTCACTATTTTGTGGTATCGAGCTATTCTAAAAGAGGCACCCTCAGAGGCTTTAAACGGGGCTTCTCGAGCTTCATGGTACATGTCACAATCACTCCGGCAAGTGCACAAATTGCCGGAACAAGACCCAACCCGTATCTTGAAACCGAAAAACATGTATACACTGGCCTGCAATCCTGCAAGGGTCCAGACGTACCTGCAAAATTAACATGATCGAGTTAGAGCTTGAACATAACAACTTCTCTTACTACTTCACAAACAAAATCGGCTTTCCAGGACGTCAAAAATGTCTAAGTGTCCTAATAGACTACTTTGTAGGAATTAATTTTAAAGGACCAAAAAATTTTGTGCATATATAAAGTGTTAAAATAAGATTATAAAAATAATTTCATATAAAGAGCCTTTAGCATGTAGCTCAGTTGGCAAAGGGGTGGGACGACTTTGCCGATATACAAGCCAGGTCTGGGTTCGAACCCAGGCCCCACTAGCCTCCGCCGAGTCACGCAAAAAATGCTCCCTCACATTGGTGTCCTTAAGAGTTGTAGGCAAGTTCCGTGCAGGGTCGGTTAAAGTTGCGGTAATCAACTATTAATAACCCAAATAATGTCATATAAAAGTATCATTTATAACTGTTAAGTTCAAAAGCGTCATAAAAAACTTGTTAACATGCCTAAAAACGTTTGATAAACTTATTGTAACACTTTTAAACCTAAATCATATAAAGTATTCGATTACAACACTTTGAAACATTTTTAGCATATTATAAAACCCAATTTTGGTGTAGTGTTATTGGTTCTGATTTCGAGCCGTTTTAGTCAAACTAGTTGATTTTGTTTTGGAAATTTATGACTACCCATTGCAAATGCGACGCTATCGTCACTCTATCTTTGAACAATGTTGTTTTCGTAAGAGAAATCTAATGCGGATTCGGCAAAACGTCCTCGGAATTTACAAATCCGTAGCAATTTGAAGTTAACAAATTAATTAGAGTGTGAAAGTCGAAGCAGGTTGTTTTCGTTCCTGTGAAAGAGGGACTTACTTTGATATGATTCGAGTGCCCACAAAGCAATCCCACACGACATCTTGTCAAGAAAACTCAATGATCCGTAAACAAACGCACAGCCTTTGACGTCTTCACCTACCAGATAGCTTTGCATGCTTACTCCAGTGACCTACCATGCCATATCATCATTAATTTGTTAACATAAACCATTCAACATATAATTATTCAACAATCAAGAGAGAACTGATTAGTTTGTGGTAACTGTGAGATCCAATTTCAACCACAAATCAACGGATAAATTAGGAAATTAATAATTATGGTAGTTTTAGTTAAAATTATAATTAGAGAGCATTTTAGGTATTTTAAAAAACTCATCTCTTTGACCTCTAATCTCCGGCCTCCGGTGAACAAAAATCCGGCAGGTACCAAGTAATCACAAAGATACACAATGTGATACCCATTGTGATATACTGTGATACCATTTGATTCCCACTGTATATCACAATGGGTATCACATTGTGTATCTTTGTGATTACTTGATATATGCCGGATTTTTGTTCACCGGAGGCCGGAGATTTGGAGGTCGGAAAGATGAGAGATGAGAGAGGAGAGATGAGTTTTTAAAAAATACCTAAAATACCCTTTAATAATAATTTTAACTCAAACTACCATAATTATTAATTTCCTAATTTATCCGTTGATTTGTGGTTGAAATTGGATCTCACAGTTAACACAAACTAATCAGTTTTCATTTGATTAAGCCCCTATATATATATATATATATATATATATATATGTAAGAGTTGGGTTGGGTTCCGGTAAGAAGGAGAGTTACGGTGAGAAACATAAGAAGGGATTTCCACCGAGATGAGATGCACCGGATCAATCCATGTTTCAAGCGTGATTCATGTGTGGGCTTGAAATTAAAGGCGATCAAGAGCCCATATATCTTTTTACGCTTCTCACCTTAACTCTACTTCTCACACGATTCTTCGTCTGTAATAACTTGCCCTCTTTAGATCTATAAGAGGTCTTTTAAAAGGAATTTAAAGAAGTTCCTCAAATCCTAACATAATTAAATGAAGAAGTTCAAAAACAGATTAATAGCTACAACAAAATCATGTTTATAGGATGTCAAAAATGTCCATGGTGTCGTAATAAACTACTTTACAGGACTTCAATTTATAAGATTAAACTTGTTAAGACGTCTAATAGATCGTAATATAACTTTATCGTAACACTTTTACATAGATTACACAATTGTACAGTCAAATAAATTTAAGTCATATAAAGTCAGTGGCGGATCCAGGAAATTCTATTATTGGGGGCACATTTAAGAGTGTCAATTTTTTTTAAAACCAAATAACTCACTCGAACCAATACGATTTCAGGTTATTTGGTTTCCGGATTAAACGGTTCAGTTATCGAATAAATATAACTTATTTGGTTTGGTTTTCAATTAATTTTTGACTATTTTGGATAAACCGAGACATCATAATGTCATGTACATATTTTACTTTTCGGTAAAACCAAAGCCAATGAACACACTACACATTAATAGTTAGTAGCAAGAAATTAGAGGGCAAGAGGCCCATAATTTAGGGGCTGTTTACCAAACGCTTACCTGGGTAAGAGCTTACTAAGTCGCATTACCTTACCGGATGAATGTGGTAAGGACCAAGAATCTTACTCGGTAAGAGCGAGGTAAGGAAAAAAGTCTTACCCGATAAATGAGAGCGATGACGTTTACCATCGTAAGCGCTTACCAGGTAAATTGTTGCATATAATGTCATTTTCGTGAACTAAAATCTTACCGGACAAGTAAATGATAGTGTTGAATTTTACCGGTAAGTACTTACCAGTTAAGTGTTTGGTAAACGGCCTCTTAGATTCCATTAAAAAAAATCAGATAGCAAAAGGCCAATAAATCAAAAATAAAAGACAAACTAGTAGCAAACCTTAAATCAAAATAACAAACCCAAATGAAATAACAAATTAAAAAATCCTAAATCAAATAACAGTTAAGAAAGAGAAATTAATAATTAAAAAATAGCAATAATTATAAATCTATAAAACAATAAAATGCAAAAAGAAAGTTGGAAAAAATCAAAATAGTGATTAATCAAATTATTAGCATCATAGCAAACAAAATAAGAAAAATAAAATGATTTTCAATAGATTGAGATTTGGAACTTAAGATCGTTTAATTGAAATGAAATGCATAAATTTAGATTTGGTATCTTACATTTAATTGTTGGGGCCTATTAATATTTTTTTGTTAATTTTTTTTAAAAACCTACCATTAATGCTTTATTTGGTTGTTTTTAGGCTTAGTTTGTTGGGGGCCTGTGCCCCCTACACTTATAATTAATGTGCATCCGCCAACGTATAAAGTAGTCTATTATGACACTTAGGGTCTGTAATGAAATTTTGGGCATTTTCATTTCCCCCTCCAGTTTAACTAGGAATGAAATTTTGTGCTTTGGGGGGAATGAACCTATTATATTATAGAAAACCAAACAGTTTCTTTTATTTTCATTCGGTTAATACCTGACCAAACATCTCTAAAGACATTTTTGACGTCCTATAAACATAATTTTGCTGTAGCGAGTACCGAGAAAGTGTTGTACCGTTATAAGAGCATTCGCAATGCCGATGAGTAATGAAAGAAAGTACATGACATCCTTCATGCTTCTTGGCATAAAGAAGATTGCTGATCCACAAAGGATCCACAAAACACCTCCAACTGAAAAGAAGGCTTTCAAGCGTTGGCCGGTCCAAGTGAGCTCCTACACGGTACAGAAATCACCGATCATCGATCTTTTAGATTACGGACTCAAACTGAATCCTTTTCAGCGTTAAAATTTATACGAAATACGTTTCCGAATCAACATCAAGATCATTCTAATTCGAGATACAAGTTCCGAGAGGAGACCTGTAGTATAATGGATACGATGAAGCTGCAAATGTAGATCATGGCCGGAATCTGCAAATCGTGTTTCATGGGCAATGAGAAAAGGCGAAAAGAAAGAAGAATCTCGTGATCGATCAGTAGGTTTGTGTAATTACGTACCAATGCTTTAGAAGATTGAGCCATTCGTAGATCGTTGATGACATAGAATGCAAGGAATGCCTAAAATTCACAATGTTAAAACACCTCAAACATGCATAGTTTCCTAAAATGGAAATATTTCTGAATTCCAAGATTCATGTGTGAATAGTGTTTAAGATTACCTGTGAAACATTGGTAATTAGCCTGGTGAACATATAGACAATAGCAACCTGATAGTATAGAACTTTCTTAAACCAGAAAGTCCATGATATCTTTTCATACCCATGCCCTCGAGATTCTTCCTTCAATCTGCATACATGAAAAATATCTATAATTTTTTTTATCAACCTGGATATCCAACCCGCTATGCGAGCCGACTAATCCCAGGGCGATCACCTGCTATCACCCAGAGTCACCGCATTTGAACCTCAGTAGCCACAAGGGGATTTTTATTCCTGTTTGGATTTGAACCTGGGACCTCCTGGTACTTTTGACCTTTGGAGTCAAGCTCAAACCAATCAGGCACCACCCCATGTTAATTTGAGGTGCTTACCGGCAAGACTCACCACACTCACTTACCTTATCGATTAACATTATCGGCCATAAAAATAGATTGCTTGTAAGTGTCCCTTACCGAGTAAGAGTCTTCTCCCTTATTGGGTAAAAACTTCATTGTCACCAAGCCTCTTACCCAGTAAGGTAAGTGACAAATAAATGCTTACCCGGTAAGCATTTGGTAAAGAAACCCCTTATAGACCTACAACGAAATACAAGCTTACTGAAAAGATATTAAAAACCCAGAAATATTTTCGACTTCCGCGGTCAGATTCTTGACGTTTTCAATCAAAAATTCCTGTGAAATTTGTTGTAAATGAAAATCAACATATTTGGATTTGTAGTATAGTTCATTAAGGATAGGTTCTTTGTAAGAAGCGTAAGAAGAGATCTCCACCCTTGTATCAATCCTAATTGAATGTCAACACTAATGAGGTGCGCCGTGATCCACCGGATCAATTTCCTTCTAAAACGCAATTCATGTGTGGGCATGACATTAAAAGTGATCAAGGGTTAAAAACGCTTCTCACCGTAACTTCCCTCCTCACACGATACTTCGCCTGGTTCATTAATGTAGAGCATGTATCAATTTCTTTGTAAGTAGGACTTAAAACATTCCTATCATGTTGAAGTTCAAACCCATTCATCTGAACAAAAAAGTCAATATGTGTCTCTGAAAATTCTAAAGTATATATGATATCTGTATACCGCAAATACTCTCACAAACTTGTTAAGACGCCCAAAAGTATCATATAACCTTTGGTTGGTCCTATAAGCTTAAGTCCTGTAAAACAGTCCTATTCTCGTTTGATTTGCTGTTTAATCTGAAGACAATTGGGCAAAAAAGCCAAAACAATTGAATACCTTGGCTCTTTCGTGCCGATGTGAAATACGACCACAAAGCAGCATCCAATAAATATCGATGAGTATGCAATCCAACGATACTGTTCATTTTCAAAGCGTTAACCACGTCATGTTGAAAGCAAACAGTAACGTACAAAAACATTAGCTCTTCAATTCTGATACCTGATTTTCAACGTCGGAAGTGGTTTTAGAAGGGCGAATATGGAAGACCGAGAAGGCAATGGCATATAAGCTGAGGTTTGCAACCTTCAAAAGAATTTCCACGAGAAGTATGTCATTTTTTAGCCTCTTTCTCAACTCCCTTCGTCCGAGTTGGGCAACTCATTAGACGTAGGGAGTTAAGAAAGCGGCATTAACAAAAGATTAATACTTAGACTCGTAAACGATACTGTGATACGTATAAGAATAGCTTACCATCGAAAACGCATTCCGACAACTGGTCAACACTACCCTGCTGGTCGAATTAAGAGTGATGCAATTCACCATAGACCTGTATTCAGCAAGACATCACTTGTTTTAAAGCCTCATTTAATGGTTATATCAAGGATTAGGTTCCCTGGGGTTGTTTGACAGTTGCTGAATGGTTTGTTGCAGAATGATTAAGAGGCTCTCATGATATAGTGCAAAGATATAGTGCAAAATGAAATATAATTGTTTGGTAATTGTGTAATTAGGGCTCTTAATGGTTAAGGGAGATCCATGATACAAAATCATTCAGAGGGTTTTAGAACCATTAAGAGGCAGACTTTTTTTTGCCAAACAAGATTCACTTCTTAACGATTCATATGCTGCATCTTAATGGAACTATTAAGAGGTAAACAAACAACCCCCGAGTGTGAATCAACTAGGACGACGAATAAATCCAACAAGCAAATGATTACATGTGTGAGACTTGGGTAGCAGCCCATCCGACGTTGAAGACCGCTGCAAAAAAACTGTAACCAATTGTTTGCAACGAACTGGATTCATTGCCGAAAATAATACAAGGAACACAGCCTCCAAACACAGAGGAGAATGAAACGGCTACCAGAATCGACCCGGCTCCATGCCATACCTTAAAATGTCCAAATCTGTCTATCTGTGTTTCCAAAAGTGGGCGGGTGTTAAATCTTCGATAAAAAACAATAACATAAACCACTGAACGTAATATGCCATCGAAGATTATAAACCTAACACATAGACATTACAACAAAATCGAGTTTAGACTGGCTTATTGGACCAAAAAGAATGTAGTCATATAAAAGATGTGTTTGTAGGATACTTCTCAAAAGTGTTATATAAATAAGCTAACAGGACATTTTATTTGCTCAAAGGAACCATATACATTTTATTATTGGCCATGAAACAGTCTCACTAAGAATATATATATATATATATATATATATATATATATATGAAGGATCGTGTGAGAAGGCAAGAAGAGAACCCTTGATCACTTTTAATCTCAAACCCACCCATAAATTGTGCTTGATACGTGAATTGATCTGGTCCATCTCTAATGTACATCCAAGGGTGGAGATTCCTTCTTACCCTTCTCACTATAACTTTCATTATATCACTGAACCAAAGAAGTTATAGTGAGAAGCGTAAGAATAAATCTTCATCCTTGGATCAATCTTAACTGAATGTCAACACTAACCGGATTAATTCTCTTCCAAAGCACAATTCATGGATGGACATAAGATTAAAAGTGATCATGGGTTCAAATATCTTCTTACGCTTCTCACAATAACTTCACTTTTCACACGATTCTTCGCATTTTTATTGTATCATCCAAATGTTGAGTTTCATGGTTTTTCTAGGGCAAAACAAGCGAAGTCACTGCAACATAATCATACCCCAAATGCAAGTGTCCTAGTAGATCCTTCCTAAGTAAATGCCAAATAGGTTTATATAGTCTTAAGTAAATGCCAAATAGGTTTATATAGCTTTTTTGGACGTCTAAACAAGTTTTCTATAACACTTTTAAAATAAAATGTTCTATTAGCTTTTTGTAGGACATTTATGATCTTCTTACAGGACATTTGTTTTTATCATACGTTTTTTCATATAATATCATATAAAAATTTAATAGCACGTCTTATTCCAAAATTGTGCTAAAAAACTTGTTAAGATGCCCCAAAACGTCCTGCGACCTTATAAACTTTTTATAACATTTTTTACATAGGACATATAGTATTTGATGATGTAAAGTAAAATCCTATAAAGCAATCTAGTACTCCTTAACCTGCTTTTCTAGGTATATACCAGTTCACCAGCAAATATGGTTGTGAATCCATCAGCTATCTGACCAGAAAGCATGACAGTAGCAGCATCCCTTGACAAAAAAAACAATCAAAACTAAGAGGATATATATAGATTTGGTGATCATATAAAACCACCCCTGTTTTCGTATACCATTTTTTTACACTTAAAATTTCACAATAGAACACTCTGAATGTAACGTTCACAATGTTTTTACTGTGGAAGTTCAGAATTCTCTACCTTCACAATATTTTGTTGTGACGTTGCAAGTGTAAAAATGTGTTGTTCACAAAAACAAACTGGTATCACATGATCCCATCCCTTTATATTGTATATATATAAGGGTCTAATCAAATGAGAATTAATTAGTTTGTGGTGACCGTGAGGTCCAATCTCATAGATAAATGACGAAATTTATAATTTTGGTAATTTTGAATTAAATTTTAATGCAAGGACATTTTAGGTATTTCCTCTTCTATCTTCTCTCTCTGTCCCCCATCCTTCGGCCACCGTCCTTGGTGGTAACACAATGCATATTATATGTGTTTGGGTATCACACTGAGGTTGTTTGTATGGTCGATCGGAGATGTAACAGAGTGGTATCACAATGCATCTCATATATGTTTGGGTATCAAAGTCTTTTGTTTAACCGTCAATATTTTTAGATATCATCGGAGGACTACCTAAAATGTCAAATATTAAAAATTTTAATTTAAAATTACCAAAATTATAACTTTCCAAATTTATACAATAAATAGATGGAAAAAAGATGCTGGTATTTGGATGCAGACCTGGGGGATAATCCGATATCTGTTATGAACACCAAGAGATAAGTAAACCAGCAGGCGGCGGTTATGTCATTGAGCATATGACCGACTCCATAGAAGAAAACGGAACCTCTCGCTACGGCCACCTCATCAACCATCATCAATGCTATACAATTACAAGTACAACTACAACTACAACTACAACTACAACTACAACTACAACTAGATGTCTGTCTGTCTGTCTGTTTAAATCAAAAGGAATAAGCCATCATCTTCATCTTCATCTTCAAGAAAGTGCTGATTAATCCATGAATCACCACCTTAAATTGCAGAAAGCTCAAATTTTTTGGAACACCCTCGATTCATCTGATCAAGATTCCCTCCTTGTGGTAATTTGTGTGTGTACGCAACTTGAAAGACAGTATGGTCGTAAGGATAAAGCAATCAATAAGTGTAGGCTATTGCGTGGGATTTATGGAAAGGTGGATGGAAAGCAAGGCATAGTGGGTTTCGAGACAGATGCTATCTTTGACGCCACCATTTTTCGTCAGTTTTTTAAACACCCGATGCTCTCTCCCTCTGTGTGTGTGTGTATATATATATGCATACATATATGTGTATATATATATATATATATATATATGCATTATGACCTTTGAGGGCAGGCGGGTAGCGCCAAAAACCGCCCAAGAGAACCAATGGCCTCCACTCTCGAGTCATCCTGTGATGTAGTTTTAATAAACACAAGCGGTTGCGTTACGTACCTTGGAAAAGATGTCTAATTTTGGGATACTTTCAATATCAACCCACTACTTAATGGGATTCGTATATTTCGTCAATAACAAATATGGTTTTACATTTTGAACCATTTTTATATATGTAAGAGAGAAAACCTAACGATAATAAGGTGACATGGTAGGGTTTTAGTATGGGTCGATTATTGGTCTTTCTCGTCTTTCTAACTATTGATCTTTTATCGAACAAAATCACGAAAATAACTAAAAAGTTTACGACTACACTCAACTCTCTCTCTCTCTCTCTCAAACTTTGATATCTCTCTAGAATCGGGTGGGATCTACTCGAACTTGATCAAAACGCGAAATATGAGGTGAACCCTAAATTTATATTTGTTATATATGTATTTAGTATAGGTTATAACACTGGATATGTAGAGTTGGTCGTGGTTCCAATATCGTATAATGATCAAGTGTTTTTATGGTTCTAAACTAATGTCAATAAATCACAATGCAAATTGATCTAATACAACAAATTTGGATAAGCGAGATCTGAATATTGTATATTGTAGTCCAATCACATACATCGATTCACAAGTCTACATATAGCATTTATAAACAAATATACAATTAAATAACAAAGAGGGATGTATGTAAATCAATCGAGACAACGAGATTTAATGTGGTTCCACTATCGGGGATGCACTACAACAAAATTGGATTTATAGGTCACCACCAATCTCAAATCGTCTTGATAGACTGCTTTATAAGACTCTATTTATAGAACAAAAAAAAGATCATATATATATATATATATATATATATATACATATATATATATAGAGGAGTGATCATATGAAAACCGCCCTCATTTGTGTAAACCGTGCAAACCACCTTCATCTGTCGATTTCATTGTTTAATCTTATGAAATTTTTTCATGAAATTGTTTAATCTTGTGAAATTGTTTCATATAATACTTTTTTTTGATGAAGTTGTTTCATATGTGGTTGTGAAATTGTTTCATATAATACTTAATGAAACTGTTTCATGTATTTCTCTAACATTAATGAAACTGTTTCATGTATTTCTCTAAAATTAAAATAATGAAGATGATAATATCTATGATTAACACCCTCCACAATAAAAATGATTAATCAACCTCTCATAATTACAAAAAAATAAACAAAATGAAAAATTATGATTGGTTGAATGCGGTTTGCACGGTTTGTACAAATTGAATGGTTTGCATTTGATCGCTCCCCTATATATATATATATATATATATATATATATATATCTAAAGGTATTATAATAACTAATAAGTTTATAGAATGTTTTTGGACATCTTAACAAGTTGTTTAGGACATTTTAATATAAAGCATGTCAATAACAATTTTATATGACACTTTTGAAAACTATAGCAATTGTTTATGTCCGTGGACGGAAAGGGAAAATTGAAAACTGATTGCTGATTACACATAATCTATGTAACACATGTTCTCGCCTCTAGCTTCGTTTTACAGGAACATAGAGGGAACCATGCTTGATTCTGAGTCACTAGATGTCCATACACGTAATTTAAAGGATGGCTTCTAGACTCGAGACATTGGAGGCAGAAGCATATATCGAGACCCTGGAGGCAAGAGCATATATCATATTGAATGTTATTTGCGAGAGGCCGACCAAGGCGCATGGGCAGCTTGGGTTGAGTCGTCTTTGATAAACCTTGCTACGAGCTTTTTTTAGCCTCCATGCATCATTCACTTGCACCTCTCGCATGGTGAGTTGTACAACATCATAAAACCAAAGTTCTTCAACACTCCACCGTGACATGCAAATCACCCAACTATATTTTTTTTGAGATTTTCCTACCATTTTAAATTAAAAAGACATGTTTAACAACTGGGGGTGATGTCTGATTGGTTTGAGTTTGGTCTCCAAAGATCAAAAGTGATTGGAGTCCCAGGTTCAAATCCAAGGAGATATAAATATCCCCTTGTGGTCACAGAGGTTCAAATGAGTTGACTCCAGACCACCGCTGGTCGTCCTGGGATTAGTCGGCTCGCATAACGGGTTAGATATCTAGGTTAATAAAAAAAGACATGTTTAACATAATTCATTTATTCATATATATAAATTTCAAATGTTTCTTGTTCAATGATACTTACTTTAAAATTTAATTTTCAATTAAACAAAATATTGTATCATGAGGTTGGGTTCCAGTGAGAAGAAGAGTTAAGGTGAGAAGCGTAAGAATGAATCTCAACCCTTGGATGCACCGAGATGAGATATACCGAGATGCACTTTCCTCGTATCAAATGCGATTCATAGATAGCTTTAAAATTAAAAATGATCAAATGTCCAGATCCTTTCTTATGTTTCATACCTTAACTCTCCTTTTAAAAGAATCATTTGCCCCATGCTAAGGGTTGTTTTGGTAATATACAATTTATGCATATTTTTACAAAAATGGTGAGTAAAATCATTGTTCCCCTTGTCATCCAAAGAACCTTGGTTGCTATTATACCTCTGACTCACTTACATACCACCTATTTCTTATCTCTTACTTCACTCACGTACTTCTATAAAAGTAGTATGAAAAGAATTCACTTAAATAAACATGAAGAATTGAATCTTAATTTGTTCTTAGTAACCTTAATCGTTCCAAAACAACTGGCTAGCCTGTTTGTTAACAGCTTAATGAAATTAATGGACTCAACTTATTAAGCCAGCTATACATGACATTTTGATAGTAACTTAATGATATAAAAATGACTTAATCAATAAGCTTTTAAGGGGGAGGTTTAGACCAAAAGCCAAGTTATTTCTTAAACCTACCCCTCCCAACTAAAAAAACATGCTCCTTCCATCTATAAAAAACTTTGCCAAACAATAACATTCTTAATCTATACAGACAAATTAACACACACAAACAGCTTTATCCATATAGGAGTTCATAGAAAACGAACTAGTCATCCCCTTTGTGTAGTTCGTTTTCGGTCCTTAGCAAGTTCTACATAAGCTTGTGTAAGTAATTTAAATGAACACCTAAAAAAATGGAAATCGCGCCTCGACTCTTTTTAAGGACTCCCAACCAGTTAAGAATCAGTTATGCAATTTCTCACTCCTGGCTCTCTTTCCAAGTCAGGGAGAAAATAGGTGTTCGTAACAAGACCAAATTCACAAGAAGGAATCGGGAGAGAAGAAAGTGCCCATTGATTTCTTCATTTGAGGTATGTTCGCTCCTTGTAATATTCATCTATGGTTTTCTATATAGGATTTTAATGGAGGTTTAGAGAAGTGTTATTATGGATTAATCAATTGAAATCTATCTTTGAAACTGGAGTATTCAAAATCCGAGTTGGGTATTGTGATTTAATTAAAGAGATAATTCTTGGAAATTGATTCTTTGAATTTTCTTAATTGTATAGATAAATTGGTTATATCAAGTTTGATTAATTGTTGTAGTGAATCATTGGGTAGCACTAAGGATTCATGGTCCTGTTTTAATTGAAATTCAATTGGATTTATGTAGGGATCTTTTTTAATACTGTTATCAGTCTCAAAAACAGCAGCTACGGGGGTTATTTATCAAGTATTTGTCCCCAAAACTGCAGCTATATAGTGTTGCTATCGAGTGCTGGTCCATAGGGGCTGATTGGGGCCTGTTTCGGAGCATTTTTTTAGGTTATTTGAAATCTGTTTTAGGGACGTTTAGAAACTGATTATGATTGTCCTTTCATCTCTATCTAGATAGATTCGATAGGGGTATATTGTGAGATAGTAGGAGTATTACTTGAGGTGCCACTCGAGTTAGGATAAAACCTTTGTCACATAAATTTATGCTCACATTTATCATATTATTGATTTATTCAGGTTGATAAATCGTCGTTTTGTTGAGGTCTGTTTGAGAGATGTTTAGAATCTGTTTAAAGTCATATCGTATACTCGACCATGAGACTTCTTTTTTATATCCGTCTACCCAATTTTAACATACTTGTTACTACACAAAAGACTTTTCTATGCTAATGCTCGACATAATATATCAGAACGAAGAAACCAAGGCCTTGTTTGTATCTTCTTGTCTGATCTGTTAAGAGGTAGGTTCATCCAAACTATTTGTTTTTTCCAATTTTTCGGCCACTTATGTCTTATTGTCCTCTTAAATAGATAAGAGATAAACCAACATCTTATTTGTCTCTTATTGTTCTCCAAACCCTTAGCAACGACGTTTTACAATTGATCAACCTTAATCAATCCTTTCTCTCAATCGATCCTCATCTCTGTCTTTTGATGTATTTTAATAGGTTCTAAATGTATTAAATACCGTTAATAAATGCTAATTACATAATTTAGATGCTAAATACCGTTAAGTCGGACATTTATAAGTTTATAAAAACAAACAGTTTTATTGATTCAAATTTTAAACTTCAAACAACACTTGTTATCAATCAAAAGTAATATAAGACTCGTACTTCAGTAACTCTTAAAAAACAAACGCAACCAAAATTAAACACATTTAGGGGCTATTTAGTTGGGTCTTTGTGGATTGAATTCTTTTTTTTATTATTACTATTTAGGAGATTTTTTCATAGATGAAATGAACTTAATTTTTTTTAAATTGAAGGGTATGTTTAGAAAAAAAAAAGAGCTCATCTTTTCTCACTTTTTATATCATTAAAGTCACCACCAAGCAGTCATGTACAACCGACCCAATAAGCTATAAGTCTCATTAAGCTCATTAAGGGGCCGTTTCTCAAATACTTATCTGGTAAGTGCTTACCGGTAAAATTTAACATTATTATGTACTTACCGGATAAGATTTTAGTCCACCAAAACGACATAGTATACAACAATTTACCCGGTAAGTGTTTACCATGGTAAGAGCTTACCGTTGTAAGAGTTGTCGCCCTCACTTACCGGGTAAAACTCTTGATCCCTGTCTCGCTCTTACCGAGTAAGATTATTGGTCCTTACTATATTCATCCGATGACGTAATGTTACTTGGTAAGCGCTTACTCGGGTAAGCGTTTGGGAAACAACCCCTAAGTTGTTAACAAACAAGTCCTAATCCAATTTGATGGTGAGATGTGAAAGTTAGAATACATAGAGCAACCTTTTCTCTACCCAAGGGAGAGTTATCCTGTTTACGTAAAAATGTCCGCCTAGTAATTCAAATTTTAAGACCCAAGAGAGCAAAGACACAGGTTTTAAAAAAGTAGCAAAGAGGTGTATGCAAATAGACATCAACCATAACTACACACCTTGCAACTTTTGAAAGTAAAGTAGTCGTGTGCTCTATCTGTACATAGGTTTTCATATGGATGATGTATATGTACATACTATATTTTAACCGCGCATGTTTGAATTGCCTAAATCGGCTCTGCACGGAAAAGAAAATCCGTCTGGAAAGCAGCGTATTAGTTCTTTATGACCTTTAACGTATAATACAACACTCCATCATTCCGTCACGCACTTCAAATTCCCAACTTGTTATTTAGTTTACAATCACGACTGTACATGAGATAATATAACACACTTCTTCGGTTTTTTCATGGTGTATGAGTACATCTCCAGTGATCTGCAAAAACAGAGTTCTTAAACAACAATATATCAATAACACTTGAACAGTATAGTGAGATGTTTGGACATTGGAACCCCTTGGATTACTCTCTAAAAAAGTTGTTCAAGTATGAAAAGGGGTTTCAACATATATTTGAGTAGAAAGATCCAAGTTTCACCAAAGGGCCTTTTGCCTAGCGGTATGCGAGTCTTTAGCCTCCTATGAGATCAGGGGTTCAAACCTCACAAAGGTGAGGAGAGTGTGTGAGTTTATTTGGTTTGACGAAAAGTTTTTGAGAGATTTGAATTTCGTGGAAGGATTAGAAATATTTGGTGTGTTTGTAGGATTTGTAATGGAATTGAATTTCATTGATAATTTATAAAAACAAACTATAAACAATTATAAAAATAATTAAATTACCTTCTATTAATTGAATATTACAAAAAATAATGTTTTTAACATATTTTAAAATATTATTACAAAAAATATCCTATGAAATCTCGTGAAATAGCAACTACCCTCTTAAGATTTCTAAATCCAATCTTCAATTCCAGACTTTTCTACAAACCAAACAAGGTACTGGAATGGAATGCAATTCCAAGTTCCACCAAAATCCAAATAACAAAATCACAAGGGTTGTGACGTAGTGGTTGAGTCCCAGGAGATGTGGTGGAATATTTCATCTGCCCTAGGTTCAATTCCAGGTGTCCCCAACACTTGTGGCCACTGAGTTTATCAGGGCTCATGTCTTACGGTCGTAATTTTCCGGATTAGTCTAGGCATGTTTTGAGACACCCTTCCAAAAACAAATCCAAATAACAAAGCAAACAGGCTATAAGAGCATCTCCAACATCTTAAAAATGGATATTTTAGGGATTTTAGGCTATTTTTTCTCCAACAGATTCTCTAAAACTGTAACATGAGGAAATAGGAGAATAAAAATCTCCAAATTTGGAGAACTCTAAAAAATCAAATGATTAAGAGAGCATTGTTTTTTTATTGTTCTCAAAAAATAAGGTTGAATGTATTTTCATTTTATATAAAAAAAATTAATAGTTTATACATGTGATGCATGTGGAATCCCATCAAATAACTCTCCAAAAGAGCCGTCCAAAAGTGAAAGGAGATTTCAACATATATTGAAATAGAAATTGAAAGGTTCAAGTCTAACAGATGTGAGATTCTAATAAGTACAAAAGGGTGAATTCACAAGGCAACTAACCTGTTTTTTAAAGTGCCATTTCTGCTTGCAATGCAGCAAGTTCATCTTCCTCGGCAGTGTTTTGCCGAGGAGCTGGGCGTGTTGGTTGCCTACCAGCTGGAACCTGCACTGGAGCAGCAGGGGCAGTTGTGGCAGGTTGGAGAAGCTGTTCCTCTAACTCGGCTCCTTCTAGTTCTTCAAGTTCAGCTTCCAGTTCATCCTGGATTAATGTTGAGTAATGTAATTTATGTTTTTCTAAGTACATAATATTTGTATATGCCAAATTAAACTTGCACACATTTCTCACCTTTGGCGAGACTTGAACCCTAACTCCCAAGAAGGCGAGGTTACCGGGTACCACTGGGCCAATGGCCCTATGGTTATGTAATGTATCCTCTTGGAGGGAGGAGCGGGTCTCAAGCTTAAATTAAGTCTTGGGAAAGAAAAATGAAGTAGGTGCAATACTTTTTTCCTAAAATAATTGATATTTCAACTTTTGAACATAGCAACCGTCTTCCGTTCATGCTTTTAGCCATTTGACCATTTTGTAATGCAACAAAATTTTGAAAAAGTATAGAATTTTCACTTTCTGGAAAACTTATATCACTCAATATAATTGGATTTTTTCCTACTAATAAATCTCTTAAATTAGAGTAAATTACGTTTTCCGTCCCTGTGGTTTGTTAAAAATTGCTGATTTCGTCCCTGTGGTTTTAAAATTTTCAGTTTTCATTCCTATGGTTTGCAATTCATTTCTATTTTCATCCCTGAGGGCAAAACACTACTTTTAAGTATGAAGAACTAAAATAGAAATGAATTGTTAACCATAGGGATGAAAAAAGAAAGAAATTTTAAATTATAAGGACAAAAAAGGTAATGAATTATAAACCATAGGGATGAAAATTGGAATTTCAAAACCATAAGGACAAAAATAGAAATTTTCAACAAACCACAGGGATTAAAAACGTAATTTACAACTTAATTTATTATCAGATCATAAATATCACTAGGTACAAATCAGTATTAACTATACATACCATATTAGATGCATCATAAAAGTAAGGGCCTAATGGACGAACATAGGGAGGGGGTTAATTTTGGATGATTTGTTGTTATCACCATTTATGCTTTTTCCTCCAAAGAATAATTCGAATTTACAGAGTTCAAAATTTTAGCATCCCTAGAATAGTATGCTCATTTAGAGCGTGTTCAAATGTATCTGGGACTTGGAAAATAACAAAAAGTAGGGACGGTACCTCGTCAAAATCAGCAGCTGCACCAATAGGGGTTGCCAATGCCTCCTGAATTTGTTTCATATTTTCAGTTTGTTCATTTATCTCATCCATAGTCTTGTCAACATCATCAATATTCCTGCATCATGACAATTTTCAAATGCAATACTATATTCCAATTCAAAGATGAAATTAAATTATATACATGAAAGCTAATCTGTATTGCTATAAAATCAGAATGCGTGTTACTGAAGAATAACTCAACATAGCCTTTTATAACGTTTAGGAGCATCATCCTGATCATTACGCTTTGATGTTCCAACCACACCAATTACAGTGACTCAAGTAACACTTTTTTTACTTTATGGTATAGACACTACAACAAAACCGGGTTTATAGGAAGCCAAAAATGTCTAAGTGTCCTAATAGATTGTTTTATACGACTTAACACCAAACAATTGTGCATCCTATGTAAAAGTGTTACAATAAGTTTACATTTAGTTTTTTTTGCATCTTCAAAAGCTTTTTGGAATAGTTTTATAGAAGTGCCATATTAATTTTTTTATATGATGTTATTTGAAAATTTGTCTAATAAAAGTAAGCGTTCTATATTAAAATTGTATTTATAAGAAGTGTCCTGTAAAATAGCTAATACAACACTATTTTAAAAATGCCCAAAAAGAACTTGTTAAGACACCCAAACGCATCCTATAAACTTATTGTAACACTTTCACATAAGACGAACAGCTGTTTGGTTCTATACACTTAAGTCATATAAAAAAGTCTATAAGGACATTTAGACATTTTCGACGTCCTATAAACCAAATTATGTTGTAGTTAGAAGTATTGGAACAATGGGGAACCAAACCAAACAAACTCGGTATATACCAACCAAAGGTAGGGTTTGGGATGCGGGTAAAATGTAAACAAACCTTAGTCTTGTCTCAAGTGACCATTGGAACCATGGGGAAATAAGTTAAAGCTTAGTGGAAGATAAGCAGGGAAAAAATAGAAGGTAAACTTACGTTGCCTTCTGCATGGCCTTCATTGCTGCTGCACCAGTTCTCAAAGCATCAACAGTCTCTGTGGTAGCTTTTGCACCTTCTAGCATAATCATCTGAAATTCAAGTTCAAACAGTACTGAAATCTCAGCCGTTGTAAATGCACAATCCATAGCCATATAAACTTGACGACATCATTAAATATCACCTGGTCATGAATACGTAATTGGAAGTTCCCAAGCTGTTCAATTTGTTGTTCGTAGAGTTTCTTCCTCTTTAAACATTGTATTGCCGCTGAACAATAGCCATTTCCAAATGAAAAATATTCACACTTCTACAATACTAAAAATATTCAAGTGCATGCTTGCTTTTCATTGGCCACTAAGATTACTTGATGAATTTCCATTGCCTTGATCAAGATGCAAAATAATGTTCTATTTGTCACCAACTGGATTGAAATTGGACACCATCTTAATCCCTCTGGAGGACTGACCAAAACAGAAATAGCCTATAGCTAATATGACCTCCTTGCAGAAAGGAACTACAGACTAAAAATCACAGCATATGTGGTTGGTCGTATATGTCAGTTAATAGGATTGACATTTCATTAATGAATATTAGCTTCAGCATCAAAATAAAAGCTGACTTTTAATACACATGACATGAGTATCCTGTGTGAAAATAAAATATATATTCCTAAACAGTGTTCCTTAATGCAAAATGACCCAATCTACACAAACAGTTGCATGCATCATTCCTATTTTAAGTAAACCCTAATCGTGGAACAGAAAGATTAACAAAAGAACTTGTTGCTTCATGTATAACGCAATTGCAATGTAAGTTAAGATCATTTCTAATATTACAATTGCTTTAAAAAGGAAAATATGTAGTTAATCCAAGAGAAATTTAGACAACAATTCAGATCGTGGCAGTGTGTATTTGTGTTTTTGGTGGGAGGGGAGGGAAACTGGAGCTTAAATACCAGCATATAAAGCAGTGAAGGAGAAAACAGTAACTACTTCATATCCCACAATAGAACAGATTCAGCAAGTCCAACAAAAATGCAATTCAGAGAAGACGATAATGGGCAACTGTTACTGTGAGTACCAACACAACAACATATAATCCTATCATAAAGGACGTCTAAGGGGGAAACCCTTTAGATAAATTCAGATCATACCCCTTTTGTTCTTCGCTCTAGTATAGTCTTTAGCCTTCTCCACCTCCGCAGAAGCCTTCTTCAAAAGTACTTTCTCTTTCTTCTCCAGCATTTCAAGTGTCTGCAAAAAACAAATAGGGCACATGTCTAAAGATGCAACATAAATCGTATTCCAGTTCTTCGAGAAATAAGGATGAGTACAGAGCAGAGGGAATAACGAAGATAAAAGCTTTCTCTGTAACCATTGCAACAAATCAGCAAAAAAAAACTAATTTTTAGATACCACTGCGAAAAAGATGTTTTCTATAGGAAGTCATATCATGACCCCGTAAGTACAACAACATAACAGTATCCTCACATGAGACAGAAGTTCAGGAAGAAATTATGACACTGAGAGCAAGGTAGCGCATTTCACTAGGTAAGATCTAAAAAGACATCTTATTCACTTACATGGAGCTATTTAGAAACCCATAGATTGTGGGAACTTCCAACAGGTCACAGTATTTTACAATATAATAGCAAGTTAACTTTCTGAACACAATGGCTTGCCTGGTTTATCTTTTGAGGTGACCATTGTTGTGAAAGGTGTTCCTAGACACATACCTAGTTTTGAGGCCTACCACAGCAGAACTTTTGCCCTTGCCCAGCTGAGACCCATTGGCTTCAATGAAGAGGCAGGCCTAGCGCTTTAAGGCACAAGGTACAGGACACAACATGTGAAACACAAGTTTATTTTGCAAGCCACTTAAATGAATTTTAGTTAAATGAAATCCAAGTTCATTAAACATCTTTCAACATATACACTGCACAAAAACTATTTTTTTGCTTAATCACGTTAGGGTATTCCCTATATTTTGTCATTCACCTCTGGTCTCCATCTTTGTCCCTTCACTTCTCTTTTCTTTATGATCATATTTATGGGGTCTAGGTTAACTGAATCTTAAAGGTTATATGTTGTCAATGATAATTGATGATTTACTTGATTTTTCGAATTTCAATGGTCTATGTCCATGTCAATGGCCTAAATTGTGTAACCTGTTGGATGTAGCTAGGCTAGGCAGAAGGAAGGGTGCTTGAGAGGTAGTGGGTGTGGATAGGACAGATTAGGGGTTGGTTTTTTGTCTTTCATACATTATGCTCATCTGTACCTGCCTATGATTCTTTGTTCCTTCGGTGCAGCTTACTTCTCCCATGCAGTGGCTTCCTCGTCTTTGTTTGTTTCCAGCCTAAACCTTTGTTCTTTTCCTTCCATTGCTCCTTTTTACCTATTCGTTAGCCTTTTCGAGCTAGCTTTCTTTTCGCACACACTTTTTGCAAGCCGCAAATCTTCACGGAAACAGCTACTCTACTCTCCAGTGTAGGGGTCAAGTTTCCATACATCTCAACTCTCCTAGACCCCCACCTCCAAGGGGGATGGATATGTTGGGTTCATTTCATTTGGTTTTTATGTTAATTTTGAGATGGAAAGCATATATCTAGCTCTGGAGTTGAGTATCATTTATGAAATGATACTTGCACTCATATTTGTTATACTTGCACCATGTTGATTTTCCACCTAGCACACTTACAATCCTATCCCTTGGTCAGGAACCACTTTAAAGATTAGCCATATAATGATATTGCCCCTAAGTGTAATGCCAACATCTTTTTTCAGTTGAATACTCTTATCCCATCCTATAGAATGTAGGAGAAACACAAACACCCTGAGTAAACACCTTCTTCCATAGCAAGAGCTCCTAGTCAACTTAAATGGATTAAGGAATGACAATAATAATAATTCAAGATAAATTAAGCTAAAACATGTACCAAAATACTAGAAACCAGTCAAAATAGATCAGATATTCGAATTAATATAATCGACATCAAGTAACCACACAAAAAATTAGTATTTATGCATCTATTTAATCAATGAAAACCAACTTTCCGAAAAGATACCTCATTCAATTTGTCTAATGTTGTTACGGCATTAGCTTCTTGCTTCGGTTTTCCAAAAACTCGCGTAAACATGATTGTTTTCGTATACGATCTCCTTCGAATCAATACGGTGAAAATCTCCAAACACCTGTGGACGCGATTGCGGGATTTAGGTCTATGATTACTGAACTGAATTCCAATTCACAGGCGCCCAAATTTAATCTGTGCGCATACACACATGTATACGTAGTTTGAGAGACAAATCAAAATTCAACGACAACAAAAAGCTTACCTTAAAAAATCTTTTATGATCTACAGTTGGATTTGAATGATCAAGAGAAACGAAGAAGTAATTGAATTAATATGGGTTTATAGTTGGAAGTGATTGGTATAAAAGAAGTGTTTAGGCATCGGTTTGCAACCGGACCCTAATTTCGATAATCGGACCAAAGGATATAGACGGTATCAATTTGACACTCAAAACACTTACGAGCGATTTGTTTAGGTTTTAATGATGTCATTATGATTTGCCCGACTCGGTGGGAAACCCGGTTCATCCGATCCAAGTGGGGATTTCCTACTAAAATGGATCCCGGGGTCGAGGACATACGGTGTAGACTCAAACCGGGGACAGGGTCGGGGCTGGGGGATGTTACTCAAACCGGGGTCGGGGATCCCCGGTAGAATCATACTAACAAATATTATTCATGGGGTTTGACTTGGGATTGACTGGGGATTAGCCGGATTTTGATCGGGGACCGGGGATTACAAAACACACCTCATCCCCGTCCCGTTGCCATGCCTAGGGCTGTTTAGTTGTTTTTTTATTGATGTTTATTGGATAAGAGGCTCTTATCTTGATAAGATATAGAGCGTTTACTAACCACTTATTATAAAAAGAGGCTCTGACCGTCCCTCTTACCAGATAGCAATCGGTCAGTAACTATCTCCATTCTTATCGTAGTCAAAGGATACGATCCTGATTTTTTCCCATTTTATCCTTCGATCCCCCTATTTCAATCGCATTCCTCATCGTTTCAACATCAATCATCCCTATTTCAGAAGCAATCAAGACTGTAGAACTCATATATTTCAATCGCTCTCCTCATCAATCTCGCATTCCTCATTTTCTCGATGTTTCCTTTGTTTGTCATCTGCCTCACCCTAATCAGTCTCCATCTACAATTTCAGGTATGTGTACCGTTGTTTATGTCTAAGGGCTTCAAGATTAGGGTTTTTATTTGATGAATGATGATTTGTTTAGGGCTTCTTTATGTTTTTGGTTGATTAACAATATGTTTGATTTTGTTTGTTTAAATCAATATTTACCACTGCTATTACCCTTGTTTATTCTTTGCATTGTGTAAATGAAGATGCCATAATTCACAGTACCACCTACATAGCGAATAATCCTCTTTGTTTCACCAAGGTGTTGCTTTGTAGGACTGTGTAGAAACCGTGACACTGCACAAACAGAAAATGAAATTTCTTGATGTTCTCAAGTAAACATACTTATTGATATAATAGTTGCTACTACATGAATAATCTGTCATTTCATTCCAACTTTCCAGTCTCTCAATGAAATAGTACAGAAGGCATTGGTATTCATTTTAAGGTTCCATTATTACCGGACATACCATACTAAGCACATTTATATACTAACAGGAAACTCACTTATATTTTAACAGGATGCTCTGCTGAAGAATCTGGATATTTGTTTTATAGGTTTCCTCTATGCATAAAGCTTCTTAATCATGAATTCAAATACCAACATAGTGGAAAGAATTTGAAAACAAATATACAGGAAACAAAAGTGAGTTCAGGAAACACAAAAAAAAAAGGAATAATGATAAAGAAAACTAGATGTACATTCAACATTAGTTAGGTGGCACATCAGACATGTCTTGTTTTATAAAATCAACAGCAAAAGGGTTTATCATAATTGGGCATTGTCGATTTACTGAAGAAGCTAGTAATCCAATTATCTACCCACACTTTACTGTAAATCAACTCTGAATGTCTAGTATACAACAAGAATTTTACATTCATCACCATGCTTAATGAAAGCCTATAGTATTCTTATGAGATAAGAAATTATCACTTCTGCTAGAAAAAAACAATGATGCAATGTTTCTCTGAAAACAGATGTCCATTGCAAATCAATCCAAGAAAACCAAAGGCAAAATCAAGCTTGCTAGATAGCATGGCCATGGAAAATAATAAACTCGCATCTAACTGACAGTAAGGACCAGATTCGTAAACTAGGAATCACATTACTATGCATAAAATCCTCATGCTCCTTGGTGAAGCTATGAATAACTAGAGTTCATCAATCATTAATTCCAGCACACATCTTTCCTTAAGAATATGTTATTTTCCCCTGAACCATAGTCTTTCTCTTCGACATTTTGATGAATCAAGGTTTAGTTGATAATATCCTAGAGTAAATGAAAGAAACCCAAACATCATTAAGATAGTAGATATCCTAAATCAAGCAACTCTTTGCACTCTTTTGGTATTTGCAGCACTAAAACAATTCCCTAGCTCTTGGTCATGGAATTTTGTTGTATTTATAGTTGTTAGCCTTATCTTTCCACTGCAAAAGATCATTGTTTGATTCAAAAATTTCTGCATTGATTCTTCGATGTAATGAGCTTCACTTGCAAGACCGTGCACCTTTTAACTAATCATGATATGATGGTTAATGTTCTAAATATGACAAATTTTGTCGAATCTTCACAATCAAAAAATCCTAGATTTATCTGGAAAAAAGAAAATGAGGTGAAAACATTTATCGAGTCTTGTTTGCATAAGATCTCTGTAAAATGGACGAGAAGGGGGTAGCTTTAAGGCAATTTCTTGGAAGAATGTAGCAGAAGGGCTAAAAAAGAATCATAATTTTGTTGTTGAACAACAACAAATGAAAAACCATTATGATTACCTCAAAGGAAAGTATGAAGCATGGGAAAAGTTAAGAAACAAGACGGGTAATGTTTATAATGCATCAACAAACGTGTTTAATCTGTCAGAAGAGGAATGACAGATACAAATGAAGGTCACATTTTATCTTATTCTATTAAGATTATTTTCTTAAATTCTTCTTTTACATATACTTATAGATCTTCTATAAACAACAAAACAAATTTGTTGAGAAGTTGTGGACTGCACCTCTTCCCTTTCCTCAACTTTGTATTCAATTGATTGATGGTGTAGCTTCCACCGGTGTTGGAACTTGGGGACCAACTAATAAATAAACCTTCACGGAATGCAAATTCAACTGAAGCATTTTCTTCTACTCAAAACATTTCTGATTTGGATTTTTTGTTTGAAAATTTCTATGATGATTATTTTGAAACCAAATCTAATGATTCAAATATTCTTTCCAAGGAAAATAATCAAGTCCATTCTGAACAACAGATATCTGGTCCATCTACTATTTAAAATATTCTTTCCAATTACTGTTTCAGAATAAATCAATGAAGAAGTTGATGAAGAAGAAGTTGATGAAAAAATTATAATGGAAGAATAAGGTTGTCATGTTCAGTGTGATGAGGGCTTGAGTAATAATTTGCCAGAGGTGTCAGTGGTACAAGATGAAAATTCACAACCTCAGTCGGATAATCAGCCAATATCAACCCCTAATATTGAACCTTCACATGAACCAATTCAAGGCAACTCCCCTAATACCTACATGGATCAAAATTCTGATCAATCTTCATACATTACCCTACCTCACAGTAGTAAGTGGACCAAAGATCATCCGATAAGTCAGATTATTGGATATCCAAATTCATTTGTTCGTACAAGGTCTGCTACTGCTAATGAGTGTCTTTATTCTACATTCTTAAGTAACATTGAACCGACTAAGGTATCCGAAGCCTTAGCGGACCCGGATTGGATAATTGCAATGCAAGAGGAACTCAATCAGTTTGAAACTTTAAAAGTTTGGAGATTAGTTTCACGTCCCAAGAACAAGACATTTATCGGCACAAAATGAGTATTCAAAAACAAGAAAGATGAAGACGGTGTTGTTGTCAGAAACAAGGCTCGGTTGGTAGCAAAAGGATATAATCAACAAGAGGGCGTAGACTATGACAAGACATTTGCTCCAGTGGCAAGAATAGAAGCCATAAGGATGTTTTTGGCGTATGTGGCTCATAAATATTTTACCGTATATCAAATGTACGTCAAAACAACATTCGTGTATGGTCTTCTCAAAGAAGAGGTGTACGTTTCACAATTGGAAGGATTTGTTGAAGAGTCAAAGCTTGACCATGTATACATCCTTGATAGAGCCTTATATGGTCTAAAACAAGCCTCGAGAGCCTGGTATGACATTCTATCTGAATTCCTTGTGAAGTCAGACTTATTGAAAGGTAATATTGACACAATTCTCTTTTTCAAAAAGGAAAAGTCTGACATAATCTTGATATAGATTTATGTTGATGATATAATATTTGGATCTACAAATCCYAAATACTGTAAAAACTTTTCTGCCTTGATCGTTTCAAGATTTAAAAATGAGCATGATGGGTGAGATGAACTTCTTTTTAAGTTTACAAGTTAAACAATTATCTTTAGAAATTTTTATCTGTCAAACAAAATATATTAATAGATATCCTGAAGAAATTTAATATAGAAAATTGTTCATCTATAAAAACACTTATGGCTCTTAGTTCAAAACTACATGTTGATCGTTCTGGTAAAGTTGTAGATCAGAAAACCTACCGATGTATGATTGGTTCTTTGATGTATTTAACTTCTTGTAGACCTGATATTATGTTCTCAACACATCTCTGTGCCAGATATCAGGCAAATCCAAAAGAGTCCCATTTAGGTGCAGTTAAACGTATCTTTGTTATCTCAAAGGGACTGCTAATCTAGGACTTTGCTATCCTAAAGGTACTGGTTTTGAATTGATTGCCTACTCAGATGCAAACTATGCAGGATGTATGTTGGACAGGAAGAGCACTTCAGGTCACGTTCAATTTCTTGGAGATAAACTGGTAAGTTGGGCATCAAAGAAACAAAACTGCGTGTCAACCTCTACTGCTAAAGCAGAATATGTAGCTGCTGCTAGTTGTTGTTCTTAATATATTTGGATGTACACACAGCTCAGAGATTACGATTTTTCTTACAATAAAATTCCAATTTACTATGATTCAAAAAGTGTTATTGCAATTTTATGTAATCTTGTTCAACACACCAAAACAAAGCATATAGATATCCAATATCATTTTATCAAATATCACGTTGAAAAAGAAACTATTGAATTATATTTTGTAAATACAGAATATCAGCTAGCTGACTTATCTACAAAAGCTTTTGATGAAAAATGCTTTAGCTTTTTAATACCTAAGTTGGGTATGCTGAATTTGAAAATTTGAATTTTTCTTAAAATTTAATCAATGATTTGAAAATCTTATGTTTATTAGTTAAATTGATAAACTTTTGATTTTCATGTGATTAAATTTTGTTC